ATATTACATCATCTATAATAGCAAGTAGATCCAATTAAACTGTTTCCTAAACACTCCAGAATGTTTGGGAAGGTGAGGATGCAGATGAGGGGTAGGATGAGGAAACTTTTCATAACATTATTGACAGAATCCTGAGTGTCTGGGGCTGATTCCTGTGTTCCTCGTTAAATGGATCAATTCAGCTGCATAGTCTTCCCAGGTTAGAAATGCCACATTATATTTAATTTACAAAAAAGATAGTGGCACAACATTTTAATCTAACTTTTGCTGTAAGTTTATGCAGAAAACCCTAAAGTTAACTAGAGCAGGAGGGAGGGAGGGGATAAAAGGGGATCAGCAAGCTGTATTTTGTATCTGTACTAACTCCCCAAGAGGATGGTAACATGAAAGTGCTGCAAGCACATATTCATAATAATACAAAATAAAATGAGTAGTCTAGGGATAGAGGGCACCTGGACAGGACAATCTTAGATGATGGTAACTTTGACAACTCAGTCATTTCACTTTTCTGTCACAATGGAATGAGAATCTTTGCTTCCAATGTTCTTCCTTCAAGGAGTTTCTGGTCAATGACAGGGAAGATCAGTCAGTAACAACCATTGCAGCAGGCATAGGAAGGACTGAGATCACAGAAAAGGTCATATAGAATGCACATTCATTCAGCACAGACTTCTGTCTTTCTTCCTCTCTAGGATACACTCGCAGGTGTCCACATCTGCCTTCATTCATGTAATCAATCTGAAATCTGAAAATGATACTTAAAGGCAAGTTTTGATTTTGCTACTGCTCAGGAAACAGGGAAGAATTTAAAGACCCAAAAGATTATGATGGCCCTCCCTACTTCTTGATGGTTGGAAAACAAAAACAGATTAGTGAATGTCATCAAGAGACTGAAAATGTAATGTTAAATCCCACTCATTGAATATATTGCTTCTGTAAAATGGAGCAGGCTGTTAATATCCCTGAGACTCAGTGTTGCTATCCCAGGTGATTACTACTTGAGACAAGTGCATTGAGGAAGGATTGAGCAGATGAGGGCTGCTGCTCATGTGATTAATACGTGAGGAAAGCATAAAATCACAGCAAAAATTAGATATTATTACTCATAGTAAAGAGAAAATTAATCATCATGTTTTTCAAAACAATATGGTATGAATTGAAGTTTCTGTTTGTATAAGAACATACTGTGAATTAGGAGAGGTATGATTAACTCTCTTTAATGTATGATTCTGAAGAGCCTATACCATCTCTGGCACAGAGAAAGTATCAAAAATAAAAATGAGTATTAATCAGTGACTGTTTGCTTCACCACAGTCAGTCAGTGTGGCATCAACATATTTGCTGCTTTCCTGTCTGCACTTTTACCCCTTTCATTAATGATCCATCAAACTAGAAATGAGGTAAAATAGCTTTTTTGGAATATGTCATGAATATGGGCCAAATAATTCTATTTAACTGCAGTGGCAACTTAAAATTATTCAAACAATGTATCAGTGTTTCATGGGTACCAAAAGGAGAAAGACTTCCAAAGTGAAGCACTAGCCTAAATTTAAGCCTTGGGCTAAGACCTATTAACGTTTTCACATTACTTGATGTTCCAGTGAACAATAACAATTGTAATCATCATCAAACTCACCATTTCCTTAATATAGAAATCCTTCATGAAAAAGATCCCATAATGACCAAGTATTTACTTGTTCCCAAATTTAGATTATATGGTAAACATATTCTTGCAATGAAACTCACTGCATTTTCATTAGGTAGTATGAACAGAGGAAAGAGTAACAAAAGTTCA